TCAATTTGGAAAATAACTGGTAGTATCGATACTACCTAGAGAGTATCGATACTTCTCTTACCTTTGATATCGGTACAACACAAACAATATCGATACTTTTCGTGTAGTAACGATACTGTAAGAACAGTATCGGTACTACGTACTCATAAAACTGTTTTGTGTTTAAATTCTAGTTTTATAGACTTTGAATTATTTTTGAAAACTTTGAACAAATTCAATCAAGTCCAAAAACATTTTGCCTTAATTTGTTATATCAAAATATTATAAAACATAGTTAAACAATCTCTCTCTTTCTAATATAACAAAACATTTGAAAATTTGTTTTGGCAAAAGTCTCTCTTAATTAAATATTTCATGAAAAAGATAAATATTTGGAAAATATTAAAGCTCCCCCTTTTTCATCTCTTTTTTATTCTTGAAATTGAATTTTTCAAACATGTACTTCTCTCACTTTTTGTTATATAAAAATTAATTCAAATTTAAAGTTCAAAATTAACAATGGAGAGTAAGTGGTAAATTTTAGCATAAAATCATTTGGAAAATCAAAGCCACCCTCAATAAATGCATTCCAAACAAAAAAAATGACTTTAAAAACATGACACTTAAAAGACATTAAATTTCAACAAAGATGAACAAACAAGTTAGTAGCACAAGAAATTCAATATATCCAAGTCTAATATACTTAATGCAATACCAATTTTTGTATTTAAGTGCATGTGCATAAAGCTATCAAAAAAATGTTATGTATTTGAAAAATTGATATCAATTGTTAGAGAGCCATCCAAGTCTAATATACTTCTCTTACCTTTGGTATCGGTAACACACGAACAATATCGATATTATTCATATAGTATCGATACTGTAAGAACAGTATCGGTACTACGTACCCAGAAAATTGTTTTGTGCTTAAATTCTAGTTTAATGGACTTTAATTATTTTTGAAAATTTTGAACAAATTCAATCAAGTCCAAAAACATTTTGCCTTAATTATGTAGTATATATATTCTATTAAGCTCAATTTCAGAAATATGAGGAAAAAAATAATTAAATTTCACTAATGAATAAAATATTTCAAAATTCATACAATTTTATGACATATCTTGAAAAAAATAATCTTACAAGTTTTACTTTTTTAAAAAGTATCTACCTATATGATTTTTTAATAAAAAATATTATTTTTTATTAACTAAAAATTATATTTTTTAAATTATTTAAGAATTATATACGTAATAATTTATTTTAAAATAAAACTTATACCATTTTTTTCAAAATATTTTATGAAATTGTATGAATTCCATATATTTAGGGGTGTTCAAAAGGTTAATTCGACCACCAATTGAACCGAATTTCCATTAACCAAATTAATCGTTAACCGAAACAATTTTTTTTAAATTAGATTAATTTGACTATAGTGGAAGATTTTTTTTATTTGGGTTAAAATTTAATTAGGTGGTGATAATTTAATGAGTCTAGTATGATTAAAAAATATTTGGGTCTTAATTCTTAATGAGTTTGAGCTTAAAATATGTATTTAGTATATATAATATATTTAATATTTGATAATTTTGGTTGATTCGGTTATTTGATAATTTTGGTTAATTCAGTTAATTAATTGATTTCGAACCGAATTAATCGAATATTAAAAAAAATATTAATTGTTTTCCGACTGAATTAATTCGGTGGCTGACCAAATTAACCAAACTAATTTGGTTCGGTCGGTTAATTCGGTTAAAGCATAAAAAATGAACATCCTTACATTTATTTTGAAATCGTATATGCATTAGTGTCAATTTTTTTAAAAAAAAACTAGTACTATTATTTTTTTAAAATATTTCATAAAATTGTATGAATTTTATGAAATTTGAAATATTTTATGCGTTAATGCCAATTCAACCAATTTTGTTTCCTTAATGAGCATAATAGAACATATAGTTTTATGTTGTAAAATAAAACCTACTATGTTGCTTGCTTGAAGCGGTAGAGCTGGGCCGAACCCATGCTTCAGGTTAATGGATAAGTGCTAATAATGGTATTATAAGCTTCCATTCATTAGATGACATGTGTCACTTTATAATTGGAGTGAAATTTATTAAATTACAAACTGTTTCTTCTTATTAAGTGGCTACACTTACTTGATTTGAAAATTAAATTTATTAAATTAAATTATAACTAGAATCAAAATGATTAAACAAATCAGAATTAAATTTATAAAATTAAATTATAACTAGAATCAAAATGGTTAAATGTATAAGTGATAAAGACCAAATATATAAATATACTAATTTATTTAACTGCCACATCAATCATTCTATTAAATATTAACGAGTCATCAGGGAGATAGTTTATCCTATTTTTGATTGATAACATAAGACAAGGACACCCCCATTAACTTATTTGTTATACTAATTTATTTAACTGCCACATCAATCATTCTATTAAATATTAACGGGTCATCAGGGAGATAGTTTATCCTATTTTTGATTGATAACATAAGACAAGGACACCCCCATCAACTTATCTGTTAGAGAAATGATTACGTGCGACAATTTTAATATACGATTAAAAAATATTATAAATTTTATTATTATTTAAATAATAAAATTAATAAAATATTATCAAAAATATTATTATTTCTATTGATTTTATTATTATTTTATCAGTTTTGTTATTATTAGTACTTTACCAAAAATATTAAAAAATATTGATATTTTAAATAAAAATAATAATATTTTATGTAATTTTTTTTTATCAATTTTATTAATAAAATTGATAATATCTTTTTTTAATTATATATTAAAGATGCACCGCGCTGTAGAACTTCCCTATCTGCTATTATCATTTAACTCCGCCAAACTCTTCACCCACCTTTGGCTTTATATTTAAACCTAATAATTTATAAACCATTTAATATTTTTTAAAACCACTTTTCTTAGTTAATAGACAAAAAGCACAGGCAACACCGCCTAGCATAGGTGATTTGATCAAACTGATATATATTTATCGAATATTTATCATTTTAGCATCGTTTGATATATATTTCTTGAAGTGACACCTTTTCGGTTGAGCTGACGAAAGGCGCGTCCCTGGGGACGCGCTTTATCCATGTTTTCGTTGAGTTGGATGTCATGTGTGGAAGGCGCATCCCCGGGGACGCGCCTTCACGGGATTCTGATGACTCGACTGCCACGTGTGGAAGACGCATCCTTTCATTAAATGTCATAAATGCCCACACCCGTTTTCCCTAACTACCCCTCCTCCTCCCCTATATAAACCCCCTCAACCCTCCCTCATTCTTCGCACCAAAATCATATTCTCCTCTCTTATATAACTCAAATTCTCTAACTATTTGAGTTTTAAATTTGTTATTAGTGGTAAGAAATTTATTTTTATGTTAGTATTTTTTAAATAGTTATTATATTTTATATTAATATATTTATGTAAATATTATTATTTTTATTAAAATAATATTTATATAATTATTATTTATTTAGAATTATTAATTTTTTGTGCTAATTATATTGTTTTGTCTACAGTTATAATGGAAAACGAAATGTTGTTGTGATTGGATATTGATCATATCTCCAGACATTTTAGCGATATGATAATATTTTTTATAATTAATGTTAATATTTAAATTTATTTTTATTTTAAAGTTATTATGAATTTATATTAATTTTAATTTTTATAATGTATATTATTTAGGATACTGATCTTATTTTAGAGACTTTTATTAAAAATCTACGTATACCGACATCGGAACGTATTTTGCCATATTTGGCTTCTGCCGGGTTCGAGTATATTGCAACAATTATTGGCGGTTGTAAACTCGAACCTGTCCTAATTTATGCACTGATTGAGAGGTAGAGGCCCGAGACACACTTTTCACCTTCCATGTGGAGAGGCCACAATTACATTGGAGGATGTCTCTATGCATCTGGGGCTTCCGTCGACGGAAATATGATGTATGGTATGGCGGATGGTGATTGGCAGTCAATGTGCATTGATTATCTTGGAGCTGCTCCGCCAGAGTTTAATGGAGGTAGAATAGCTTTATCTTGGTTGAAAGTTAATTTTGAGGTTTTAAATGAAAATGCATCATAGGAACAAGCAAATCTTTATTTAATATAATAATTAATATTATTAGTTATAAATTTTTTTAAAATATAATAATAATTCCACCTTCTAAGTAGAAAAAAATATTAAATTAAACAAATTAAAAATTTTAGAAAAAAATATTAAATTAAACAAATTAAAAATTATTAAAAAATTTATGTATATGATAACACATTTTATGTTCTGATTGGAGGATTAAATTTATTAAATTAAATTTTCAATAAGACTAATTTTATAAAATATGTAAGTCTTGAAGATTAAATTTGTAATTATACTAATTTATTAACTTATGCATCAATATTTTCGTTAAATATTAATAAGAGATGACTAGATTGATAACATTTAAATAATTAACTGATAAAATTAATAAATCGATAATCAAAATCAAAAATAATAATATAACCTTATGTGTAATATTATAATTTCATACATTTTTCCTATAACTACAATAAAATCAAAACTGGTTTTCATATATTGTTCTATCATATTAATGTAAATAATTCACTCTACCTTTAACACACATTAACAAAATACATTTGATAATTCTAACATTATAATCGAAACACTTTACATAATATATTACTAATTTATAATAATAATAAAAATAAAATATTTATTATTAAACAAAATACCAGCGTAGCAATCGAGTCATCAGAATCCAGTGCAGGCGCGTCCCCGGGAATGCGCCTTCCACATGTGGCATCCAACTCAACGAAAACACGGATAAAACACGTCGCGTCTTTCGCCAGCTCAGCCGAAAAGATACCACTTCGAGAAATATATATTAACCGGTGCTAAAAAGGTAAATATTCCGTTAAATAAAATCGCCCCCAGCATACACATCACGGAAAACACAACCAACACACAAATAGTAAGATGGGAGACTAAACAAAGTATACTTTTTTGCAAACTCCATTTCAAGAAAATGTTCTACTTTTTCATACAGTGTCTCAATTTAGGAGAAAAGAAGGGAGCAAATTGCTGGACGCCACACACAATGGAAGGGGTATATTTTTCAAAGACTTCTGCCACACACTTCAAAGTTTCAGGATAAGTACACTTGGACACCAGCAGTTTTAATTACCTGGCATACAGGACAGACATTGATTGATAAATCACAGTCTTTACATAAGCAGAGATGCCTACACGGCATCAACAAAATTGATACCTCCTTCGCCTTGCATGCTCTGCAAATGACGTGTTCCTTTGTGCCCCCGGAAACACCTTTTGCGGCACCGAGGGGGGAGTTGAGGAAGTTGTTCGGATCGATATACGAGGCAGCATCATCAACTTCGCTGTCTCCGAAACCTTCCATCCCGAGTTGAGCCCCCGGCGAGATTACTTGCTGAAGGTTGTTCTTCAGCACGTTAACAACCGACTCGTTGTATTTTGCTCTGTAATGCCAATTTTGGGCTTCTGCGGTCACCTGCTTTATTCTCTCGACCAGTTCCCTATTCTTGTTATTCACAGTCTCTAGTTCTCTGTCTTTCTCCCTAAGCTTCTTGCTGATTCCTATCTCGATAGCAGCAAGAAAAGAAGCCATGTGTTTCTGCTTCATGTCTCTTATTCCCTTTGTCAGGTGCTCTTCCTATTAAGAGAATAAAATGAAATCATGCCAACGAATTTAAACCAATATCCGATTACATAGTTCTATTAGAAACCTTTTTATTAGAATAACTGACAGATAATCAACGAGATATCAATATCACAAAAAACTGAGCAAGCTTCCTAAGCATCTCAACATAAACATAACAAAGTAAGAGCGTATAAAATGTCATGACCATGAAATGCAAATGCTATGTCATTATCATGACAGAACTTCGGATCTTAGATCCAAACAGAAGATTAATCTGAATTATTGCAAACAAGGAAAATATCAAGTGCCTTTGGGCCAGCCAATAGCTAATGCATCAACATATATATGCGCTATAAAGTAATAACATGCTACATACCAGTAAACCAACCTTGAGACATTTTATTTTTACCACAATAATACCTGAATTTTTATGTACCGATCAAACTCCTCTTTCTGACGATCCAGTTCTCTTCTAACATGGTCACCAAGCGACAAGATCATCGATGGTCCTTGCATCATGCTTCCACTACCGGAAGTCACAGTTGAATTTCGCTCATCATCATCATACGATAGCCGTAAGCCAGTTGACACAGCATTAGGATTTGGAACGCTAGCGGGACAGTCAGCTTCCTCTTTACAAGCATTATAATTCAAGGAAATTTGTAGCTTTTGCTGCCTTTGAATATCTTCAGTTTCTCTGCCTCTTTTATTGGGTTGAATCATGGGAGTGAGATGTTCATTTCCAAAATAGTTGACAGGATCAACTTGGCACCCAACTGGCACTGCAGGTTAAAAAGGTATGAACCCGTTACCACTGAATTTAAGAGGATACCAAAATAGGGAAGTGAAAGAAATAATTAAAAAAGATTCTAATTGCAAAAAAAAAAAAGTGAAAAAATATAACTTACAGTTTCCAAATAACTGCAGTTGGTTTGATGCATTAGTCTGATTCTGATATTGAAGGTGATTCTCATCAACGGAAATAGGAAGCACAGGATTACTGTTATTGCCTCCTAACATTTTCCTATATAAAACCTAAATCACTGTGATTTAGCTCTCTGAGGAACACCCAAAACTGAGAATTTGCCTGCAAAAAAACAAGGAAAATACAGTTGTACTCCACATAAAAATAATGAATTATCGAAGTAGAAATACAGCACAATGAGTAAAAGATATGAGTTCATTATCTAGATCTTCAATATCAACATTACGCAATGTCCGATTATACTCTGCAATCTGCATTTATGAGAAATGTGATACCATTCAAATTTTTTGTCACCAAAAATACATGTCCAATCGATAGATTCAGGTAAAAAAGAAACAAAGTGGTCATGTACTTGTCTTCCTTACATTAGGTTCAAAATAAATGAAACTCTAATTCCAGTTTTATATCAAACACCACAATGACCCTCATGGTTAATCCCCCAAAAGTTCAAGCACATGAATATATGCAACCCCCATAATCTTTAAAAAAAATCTTTAGAAATTCAAACACAAAGGTATCAAACAAACAATTTAGAGGGGGGAAATCACTTCTACAAAGTTTTAATCTACCTCAGCAAAGTAATTCTACACAATGAAAAGGGTATATAAAAGATCACGCCAATGCTTTGGTGATAGCCTCAATAATCAAGCTTCAAAAGAAACAATACTGAAATCGCGGATATTGCTTCCAAGAAAAATACAGATATCTTCAAGAACAAAAAGGTTTCTTTTTATACAAAAAAATCCTTGATATTCAAACATAGATAAGCAAAGGTAAAACCCGGAGAAAAAAGGGTTTATTTGTGCACAAATCCAGTTTTGAACTTGTTTAAAAGGTGAAAATATTTAGACAAACAGCGAGATTTAGATCTCTTTGACGATTCAGATGAATCTCCCTAATCAAAACAAATCATCATCAAAGGCATAAAAAACCCAAACAATAAAAAAAAAACTACCTGGGGGAGATGAACGCACTGCCGAATTCAATTCCAAAAAACAGAAACAACCCATATCCTGAAATATCAAACCCAATCTTGAAGTAGCCAGAAAAGAAGAAAAACCCCAGAAACAAAACACAATAAATAGCGAGTCAAAAAAGAAAAACAAAAAACGCACCTCAAAATGTAACGCTTGGAGAGAAGAAGTCAAAGAGAAGAACCGATCATTTAGGATCTGAAAGGATTTGGCTCATCAAAGATAGATTGCAAAGCAAAGAAAGGAACGGCAAGAGAAGGCAGAAGAAAAAAAATAGTAGATCAAATTTATTAATTTCATTTCTATTATATTTTTGTATTAATTTTATTTTTAAAATTATTTAATTTTATCAATATTTATCGTTTACTGTCTTAACTCACATAACCTTTATGTTATGGTATTTTTTTCACACAAAAAAAAATTATCAGTAATCGATATATTTATCGATATAACACCGGTCATATTATATTTTTTGATCTAACACTTTTTGCAGTAAGGTGCGCCTCCTGCAGCGCACTATACGCTGATTTGACGTCAAGTGAGGTAAGACGCGCCCCTGCAACGCATCTTATGCTGACATGGATACACGTACGTATAGCACGGCACCTGAGGCGAGCCTTACGCCACGTAGGATATAGCGCGGGTCAGGGGCCGCGCCTGACTTTTATAATTATATATAGCGCGGGGCAGGTATCGCGCCTTGTATAATTGTTATAACTTTTCTCAACTATAAATACATTTCTCTCCCGGGTTAAGTTCCTCACATCTCTCCTCTCAACTTATAAATTAATACAACAATTCCGTCAACGAGTCAATAATTCTGATAATTTTCTCATATTTTATTAAGAAGTTCGTGCGATTTTTCGTTATAAGGTAATTTTGTGATAATTTTTTTTATTATATTTATTGTTTATTATGATTATTGAAAAAATATTATATTAATTGTTTTCAATTAATTTCTGTGTTTGTAAAATTAGAAAGCGGGAATATACGTTGAAATAGTTTTGCGGTACATGTAATAATATAAAATTATATTATTTAAATTATTTACGTTTATGTGTAAAAAATTTATTCTGTTAAATTTTCGTTCATATATTATTTATTTAATCAACATTGTTTCAGTTGTTTTTTTTTTTGCAGATATAACATTGCCGCACTTTTAAACTCAAAGAATGGCATGACTTTCAGCTATTGTTTATTATGATGGTGAAATTCGAGAAGATGAAACCGACTTTGTTTTCGTATTAAATGAGCGTGTTAAAATATCATTGAAGAAAAACATAACTCTTTACGAGTTGATAACGAAGATTTTGAGGAAGATTCATGTTGGAAGTAGTAGAAGAATGTCGTCGTTGCAGTACAGATTTCCAACATCATTGTTGCCATTAAGTTATACAGCGTTCGAACTTTTGAACAATGATGATATTGAAATGATGGTTGAAGCTCAAAGTAATTATTCAGACGCCGATATTGAGATGTATGCAAATTTTATTCAAGTGCGTGCCGTTCGGGGTCAATCATTAAGCTCCCACTATGGGCTGGCTGAACAAGTTGATCAAGTTAACAGCCCGACGACAGTAATGTGTAATGATTTTAATGCCATAATGGGGAGACATTTATCTGCAACTCCTTACGATATGTACCGAGGTGGGTCGACGAACAATCCGTATGGCAATATCGCGTCCAGTTCAAGGGGAATGCATTCATCTGCAAATCCGTTTGACCTTAATATGGAGATGTCATTGACGCAACCATCTGTGTAGTTTCCATTTGACACGATGGCTTCAAGCTTCAGGGGGAGGCATTAGACTGCGAGCTTTTTCGATCTAAATGTCGATATGCCTTCCAGTTCAAGGGGAAGGCGTGCAAGTAGTAGGTTCTTCGACCTAAATGTGGAGAGCATGGAGGAACCATCATCTCCACCAGAAGAACCGCTTCGTGAGCCTAGTGCTGAGACTGGACTATTCATTCATCCAGAATCACCGCAATTCAACTCCGATGGTGATGATGATGTAGATGAAGTTCCAGCAAATGTGGCACAAACTGACCCTCCAGCACACATGTATGAAGCTGATTATGATGCAATGTACGGGCCAAAATTTGCGGATATGCCTCATCTCGGTGACTATGGATATTACTCATCAATAAATAATGGTGAGTTATCTTTAGGCATGTAGTTTTCAAGTAAGGAAGAAGCGATGATGGCTATAAAAATTACAATATCCGTAATTCTATTCAGTCCAGAGTCGACCGCTCCACGACCGAAAAATATGTATGCTACTGTGCCCGACGCGAAAACGGATGCAATTGGATAGTTTGCGTATCGAAGAGGAAGAAGAAAAACAACAGATGAGAACTAACAGTATATAACGGTCCTCACACATATTGTGCTGGAGGGGTCAACCAAGATCATCTTAACTTGGACTGTGAAGTGATATGCCAATCCATCATGCCCATGGTAAAAGAAAACTCTCATATAGCTGTTGCTGTGTTGATTTCAGCTATACAATCGCAGTATTGGTACACTGTCTCCTATAAAAAAGCTTGGTTGGCAAAACAAAATGCCATTGTCAAACTTCATAGCGAATGGGATGCATCTTACAACGAACTTCCATGCTGGTTTAGGCTGGTGCGGAGGTTGAATCCTAGGATAATTGTGGACTTCGAAACTTCCTATGCATACCATAATGATCGAGTTCTCTGCGATCGATGCCAATTATACCGGGTTTTTTGGACTTACCCACAGTGCGTTAATGCTGTCAAATACTGCAAGCCTGTGGTCCAGATCAACGTGACTTTCTTGTATGGAAAATACAAGAAAGTTTTATTATTGGCAATTGTCCAAGATGGCAATAACAACATTCTTCCAGTTGCTTTTGCTCTTGTCGAAGGAGAAGATACAGATTCTTGGGCTTTTTTCCTTCGAAATTTACGTGCACGTGTTATCACGAGGGAAAACATCTGTGTCATTTCAGATCGTGGATCTGGGATCAAAGCAGCAATGGAGTCTTTGGGTCCAATGTGGCAACCACCCTTTGTCCAACATAGGTATTGTCTCCGACACATTGCTGCGAACTACCATGGAAGGTACAAGAAGAATGATGTGCGTCAATTAATTGTGCGCATGGGTAAATGAAATTGATGTAGTTTGTTTTCTTTCGATCATTTTAATTTTGCAAAGAAAGCAAGTTAGTAAGTTATACATTTTTTGATCAGGTTACGAACTACTTCCTCGAACGTTTGAATCAATGCTTCAAGATTTGCGGGCGAAGAACGAGGAAGGATACGATTACATCAGCCTCATCAATAAAGAAATCTGGACGAACGCATATGATGGTGGATATCGATATGGACACATGACGACTAACTTGGCAGAGGCAATCAATTCAACTTTAAAGGGTGCATGTCACTTACCAGTAGCGGCTTTGGTAAAGACTACATATTTTTGTTTGGGGCACTTTTTGCGAAGCCTGGGGGACAAGCTCAAACCTTGATTCAAGGCGGTCATGTCTATCACCCTAGATTAGTTGCAGATCTACAGAAAAAAAATTTCTACATCAAATGGAATGTCTGTAACAAGCTTCTCTAGAAGGCATGAAATGTTTCGTGTCACAGAGTTACCGCGACCTCTTCGAGGGATTGAAACTGTGTCTTTAAGAGTAAATCTAAGGGACAGAACGTGCGACTGCGGGTTTTTTCAAGCTCTTAAGTATCCATGCTCTCATGTGATAGCAGCTTGCTTGCATAAATGTCAAGACTATAACCATTTTGTGGATCCCGTATACCTACTATCTGAAGTTTTTAAGGTATACGAATTTGAGTTTCCCCCATAGGTAATGACAAAGACCCTGATGAGGTTCAAGATTGGCTTTCGATTGTACCAAATATGAGTTTATTGAGGAAGCGTGGTCGTCCAAAATCCAATTGAATTCATTGCGATATGGATATTTGAGAAAGATCTAGACAAGACAGAAGATGTGGGCATTGTAGAAACCCAGGACACACTAGAAAAACATGTCCACGTCTGTTGCCATCAAGTAACATTTGATGAGGAAATGATGTATTTGTTTATCAAATAATAATTCTTGTACTTTAATTTGCATTTACTTCAAGTTAATGTCATTCGATAATCACTGATGAAGATTAAAAAAATGATACAATAATACGAGATTGGACGTTTACATTATATGTGATTATAATAAAAGAGATAATAAGTGACAAACTTATGAAAGTTATCGAACAATTTGGTATTTCAAAATAATTTTAAATAAAACAAACTTACAATAAGTCTTAAATGGTAAATGATAACCAAATTACAATAACTGATATTAAATAGTAATAAACAAAATTAACTGAAATACATTAAAAAAAAGTCAAACAAATTTAACAAAATAAAGTAAGTATTAAATGAGAAATAATAAAAAATTACAATTAAAAAGTCCAATAAACTATATACAAATATAATAAAAAAAACAAAATCTATCGATGCCTGCGACGCGAATGTGTTCCGCAGGGCGGTGGCTGTCAGTCTCGAGGAGGATTTCTTATTATCACTGGTTGTGACTCCTCGCTGTCATCATCATCACCATCATCGTCGTCGTCGTCGTCGTCGTCGTTGTCGTCTTCCTTAGTAGATACATTAGGTTTATGAGGAGCTGATGACGATGAAGCACTTCAATAGAATAAGGACCCTGGAGGTGTATGACTGGCTATCCCACCGGCCTGCGAAAACTGGGAAAACTCATAAAACCCAGACATCGCTGAGTATGAAAACTGTACAGGAGGTGTCTGTGCTGCGGCCATGGGTGATGAGGTTGAACCCGCCAAATATCCAGCATATGAACCCCAAGTGGGATCTGCAAACATAGACCCATAATAGCCTTCAGGAGGGGTCATCTGTGATGGTGGCGGTGGTCGTGGTGGCGATGGCCGCTGCGGCGGCGGCATTTGGTAATGGAAAGGCGGTGGCGAAATCATATATGGCTGCGGTATGTAAGTCGCTGGATACGGTGGCTGCTGTGAAGGTCCTACTGGTTCAGCTGATGATGAACCTGGAAGTACCTGTTCTCCGTTCACGAGTCAATGGACGATGGTGCTGTGTCGGTGAACGTCTCTATCGACGTCACAGAAAGGTTTGCCCTCGTGCATCCTCGGGAAGCAGAAACGATTTCCTTTTACTGTTGAACCACTCATAATAGTCGTCAGCAACCATCAAGAGGTCAAGTAAAATGGGCTCTCTACGGGGAAGGCACCGATGTCGATCCTCCCAC